CAAAATTTTCAATTATTCTATGAAAAAATCATCTTTCTTACAATTGCACGAATCATATTTTGAGAAAGGTTTATGTAGATAAACAATAATTAATAAAATTACGAATATTATAAAGAGTTTTTTCATGCTATTATTTCTTGGTTATTGTAAAATGATTCGCTGTATATGTTTTTCTATTTTTAACTATATAGTTTTTGTGATTTGAAAATTTTTGATTCTTCAACATTAAACAGAACTCCTATTTATAATCATTTGGAATTATACACTTATTAGAATATAATACTATTACAAGTTAAAAATAACCATTTAATCAAAAAACTCTAATAGTAATATATAAACACCATTTCTTTGTTTAGCAATATCATTGTAAAAATAAATTTTCACATATATGTTTAATTAACCTTAGAAAACATTCTTGTATAGAATTCTAAATTAATCTATAATGTAAAAATTACAATTTTTTAAAAAATCACTTGTAACTTAAAATTTCGCTTATTAAATCACTTTTTGCGTACTAACAAAAAAAAATTCCTTGCAAGATTTTGGGTTAGAACCTTTTTAATATTGTATATTTCCCTAACCTTAAACTAATGTGATGCTTTGTTTATAAAAAATATTGTTTTGATTGGTTTATGAATTTCACAGCCTGTAAGATCATTAAGGTCTGATTAGTAGATGCCGAGAACCCGATTGTTAGTATATAGACTTTAAAGTAACGTAAGATTCTATTTCTTTGTTTCATCCTTCATGTATAAAATTCTAAATTAAATCTACATTCAGTTAAAATAACATATTAATGATGGATAAGACATAAATTCTTATTTTAAATAAGTTTATATTTAATTTATATCAAAATTTATATAAAAAGAAATTTTTATTGTGATAATGAAACACATCTTTTACAAAAAAATATCATTTATAAACCCAGAAAGTTTTAAAATAGATTTATATAATAAATTTTAAATTTATCTTGCAAATGACATGAGTAATACATTAAATTCAATTATACGTGTTGTTTAAATGAATACTGCATTTCATAAGTTTCTCTTCATGATATTGCATTCAAAATTATATCTAATAAATTTTTAAAGAAAATTCTTTTTTACATTCTTGAAATCTAAGAAAATAAAATTAAACAAATATAAATTAGAAATGTGCTTTAACTTATTTTTATTTCTACAAATCGCTTGAAAAATATTTCAATTTTTAATTAAAATTTATATTTTTTATGTTTATATATTTGAAAAATTGTCAATTAATTGAGCTTTTATAATTGCTGCTTTGAATGAATCTTCTACTTTTGGTAAATAGTTTTTATCTTTTACCAAGCAATTTTTTTGAAGTAAATGTTGACATTCGTTACAAATATTTAAATCACTTGCGTATTGGTAAATTTTATGTTTGCTGTTTCTTTCTACATTTTGTAAAATTTGATAAATGATTGACTTTTTAAATCTCAACTGTTTCGTGACTGAGACCAGACAAAAAAGCACATTTTTATGGCATATTGGTAATATAGTATTTCGTTTGTTACAAAATTCACACATTTTTTTTATTGAGCATTATGTTATGTTGATGGCATTTTAGTTTGAGTTAAATATTTTTCTTATAGATCTGGGAGATATAGCGCCTTTTTATATATTCACGAAAAAGCATATGAATTCTAATACTAGTAAGATTAGCCATTTGGACAAAAAACCTTTTGCAGTAAGGTAAGACTCATTTCTTTGTTTCAAAAATTTACAAATATAAAATAATTAATTAGTAATGAAGAAGGCAATTATATTAATAAAGCAAGTTTTATCATAATTAATGAAAAGGAATTGAAAATCTGTAAAAATAGTTTTTGACCAAATAAAAAGCAATATATTATATATCATTTTTTGTAAATAAATTTCAAGGCATAATTAAAAAATCCTACGTCATTAAATATCTTATTCTACATATATATATTGTCATTACTTAAATTTATACTAACTAGGTCATTATCATTTCCCTTTCAAACAAAGAATTCTCCTAGTTGTATCATTTAAATGACATGTGTCATTCACAAAAAACATAACTGGTATTTTTTGCAATACTAATAATACAGAGCACGAACTCTCCATTTAATTATTTATACTATAAGGCTTTTCTTTCAGCTCATTATTATTTCTATTTCAAACAAAGAATTTTTCTAGTTATTTTACGTGTAATTAGCGAATATTAAACAGATAATATAAATAATCTATAGATTAGTATAAACCGATGAATATGTATAGATTATTTATATTATATTTAATTTATTGAATCTCTATTCACGAAATTTACTTAGTATTACAGTACAAAATACAAATACCATTTAATTATTTATTCTATAAGGCTTTTCTTTCGGCTTATTATTATTTCCCTTTTAAACAAAAAATTTTCCTAATTGTATTATTAAAATGATGCGCAATTAGTGATACGAACCATTATTAAACAGATAATATAAACTGATGAATATCGATAGATTATTTATATTATATTTAATTTATGGTTCAGATCTCTATGCGCGTAATATTCACTAAATTGATTTAGAACACAAATGCAGCATTTAATTATTTATATTGTAAGGCTTTTCTTTCAGTCTTTACGCTCATTTTTAATTTCTTTTAATGGAATATCCATATTGAACCTCATGTCAGGATTACTAATTACCTTTGCTTTTGTATTTTAAAACTCATTTAAAAATAAATTGACCAGGCACAAATAATATCGTGTTTTCCAAAAAATTTTCTTAGTTGATACAATGATAAAATTGGTGTTTGTTATCTAGTTTACTATAAAAGGCTCATTATATTCAAAGTTGTTATACTATATGCGTATTTCTGTATTCTGTTTACTACAAAACTAATAACAATCCTGGGAATTTAAAAATTGATTCTAAAAAATGTTACTAAAAAGAAAATATTTGAGCATACACGAATCTACAAAAAGTATTGCAGAAAAGAAATGCACTATCAATATAGAAATTCTTTTGAGACACTACTTTATATATATTTTGAATATATTATTCTTGGTACAACTTGTAAGTCTCTGAATTTATTATTCAAAATAATAAATTCGATTTGTTTGCACGTAAACCTTAAGCCATTTTTATGAATTCATTTGATATAATAATATTCCAATAAATATATTTAATTATAAAAACTGGTTTTTATATTACAATAATTGGTTGTATTTATTTATATTAAGTTTTACTTAAAGTAATTTACATGTGTTGCGCCAACAGAATGTTTCTAGCTAGTATGCACTAAGAAGTTGAAGCCGAATTTAATATTTGATTATGAAAAATAAATTCGGATCTGAGCTCTAAATGAATTGAATTTGTAAATTGTTTAGTTGCTCAGTTAGATTCTAACTAAAGAACATAACACATTCTAATACGTGTGCTAAGGCTCAAAATGCTGCATGATGCTCTAAATTTTTTTTTTTAGAATTAGAAATTACTTGTGCATTAAGAAAAGGTTGCGCAGAAGTCGAATTCACATGAAAATATATAAATCTTGATAGAAACTTTCCTTGAAATCACTATAAAATATGTCAAGCACAATTATATTTCCAAAGTACAATTGTGAATAATTTTAAAGACCTTAAAAAATCAAAAAAAATAAATAAATCATTGCTGCAAAAGTTAAAGAATAAAATCGGAAACTGTATAGATAACAAGAAAAAGATTGCCAATCAACAAAAGTTAATTGATAACTTTCAAGAAAAAATAGAAATAGTAGAAATATCTAATTTATTAGGATAATTTGTAGAATCAATCAATTGACTGAAAATGTTAATAATGATGATAGTAAAATTTATAATGGAAAGTGAAAAAGGTACAGACAATCAATTAGTGTATATCCAAACACATTACAAAAGAATTTATTAAAACAGTGGGTACGTATGTACATACATACAACATATCTGATATCAGATAATATAGCCATAACATATGATATGACACAAAGTGCCACCACTTACCGTGCTACATCACGAAACTATCATTATGAAAAGTAAAATAATTTTTCTGAGTTTAATTAATATTTCGCGTCAGTAAGATTTATTCAGAATGTGATCTAACTATTGAATTTAGGAATTCTAATGATTCATTTTTTTATTATAAAAATAAATTCAAAAATTGTATTCTTTATAGTTTTAATTTAAAAAGACTAATTTTTTTGGTAGAAAAGTTTTTATAACAGTGAATGTAAATTTTTTTTTTATGAATAAAAGGTTTAATATTAAAAAGGGTGATTTGATTCAAATAAATAAATAAAATTGTCTAAATAAATGGCTTAAAAACTAGTATTTAATATTGAAAAGCCTGAGAGAGAATTGCTATTGAAATTTTCACTAGAAATTCTGACTAATGAAAAATTTTCATGAACTTATCAAATGCCATCGTTTCTTCATCTCAAACCAAAGGATTCCAGTGATTAACTGGAAAATCAATTGAAGCTTCATTATTAAACCAGTCTTGAGCCGTAAATATTTGGGCTTTTGCTTTAAAAATTAGCAAAATCCCATGCGAACAACATTTCTAAAGAAAAGGACATTACTACTTATTATATTATTAAACAAGCAAAAACTTTAAAAAAGCTACTTATCGATTGTGTTTTTAGCCATAAATCTCATCAATTATGTTTTTAGCCAAAAATCTCTGTACTGGAATAAACGATAGCTTGATTGATTTTCTATTAGATCACAAATATTCAGTTGTTCCTTGAGAAAGGACAGATGGTATAAGATAAGTACATGTCCCTCAAGCTAAACAAACCGAATAGCATTAAGCCAATTTTTTAGCCAATTTGATTTCACAAAAAAATAAATAAATAATTCATTTCAGTATTTAAATTTAAGTGAAAGTAAAAGATATGGGTAGTTTTGCCTATTTTAACCTTAATATTCAAAGAATTCGCATCAAGTAAGAATTTCTTAATTAATTAAATGATTCAAAGCACCAATTTCTGTCGAATTTACATTCAGCTCTAATTTGAAAACTGACAAAGATCTTGATAAGAAGCATCTGCATGGACCCCATCAATACAATGGACACTACTATTAACAATACAGTCCTCTCTAAACTCCTGTTTTAAATAAAAACTTTCTAAATATTCTATTTCTTTTTGTAAATTAAGAATATCATCATGTATTTTTTTGTATGTTGATTCAATATCTTCTATTAAATGATGAGTATCTTTATGTAAGAATTCGATATCTTAAGGTAGGATTTCGAAAAATTCATTCATAGTATATTTTATATTTTGATAGGTTATGAACCTTTCTTGTCCACCCACATTTTTGACTTCATAATTTGTTAAATAAATATCCTTTCTAACATTTAACATATCTAATTCTTATTTTTCAGCGTCATTCACTGTTAGTAGAATCTTGAATTTGTTGAAAATATGAATCTTTACTTTCTAAAGCCGATGAAGAGTCATTGTGTTGTATTGTATGATTCTCATTTGAAGTTTGTAAAATTGCTTTATAGAATTGAATAGAGAATGTTTTTTCTATTTGGTTGTTGTTTAATTCCACAAATTTATTTATCATTCTATTAAATTGGCAGAATGATGTAGAGATATTCTGAAGTTTCATAAAATCACTAATCTGGTTTCTATATTTATATAATGTTAGAACAATGAATAGTAAATTAAAATATAATTCAGTGGTAACGATTTGAATTCGAGATTTTTTTGTAAATTTTCTAACTTTTAATTGAGTGATATGATTATTAGATGTTAAATAAATTTCTTGAATTTGATCATCCTTATGAATTTTTTATAAGGATTAAAATTAAACTTAAATAAATATGTAATTATTAGCTCGAAGCAAGAACAAAGCATAGATTTCGAGTCAGTAAAGATTCGGTTTTCAGTTAATGCTAAATCAAACCATAGTTTGAGCATAAAGAAACTAAATGTTTGTTATTATTAGAAATCTTGGGTTTATATTTATTGACTTTGTTATTGATAGTTTTTTAAAATAATATTGCAATAGCAACATTTATAATAAAAAAAAAAAATAAATATGGAATACACATAAATGCTAAAATAAATATTGCAACTAGTATTGCAATGATAGTTAATAAAAGAATCAATATGAATATGACAAAGGTGTCAATAATTCATTTAGTGATTCTTCGCAAAAGATTTATTAAATAAATAAAATATTCTGATTTCATTTTGATTAAGGAGCTGAATGTTTTCATGCTCCTTTTAATACATTTTGTCGTAAATGAACTTGTTCAAATAGGAGATATTTAATTCATTTTTGTTTTATCTTCGCCATGGTTATTCATATTACCTATTTTACAAAACATTAAAACTAAACTCCGAGTTATATATGATTTACAATAACGATTAATAATATTACAATATAATATATAAAGCAGATCTGTTATGCAATTATACGCATTAAAACATGAAGAATTTTTTAGCATAAAAATGAAAAAAAATGAACACTACAAAAGTTTCAAGAAAGGTGTAAGTAAACAAAAATTTATCTTTTGCTAAGTATTTAATGATATAAACAAAGGTTAAAATTTCAATTCTTTGCACACTATTGCAAAAGGCTTTGTTTGATTTTTTTCATAAATACACTTGATCAAATCAGGGATAATTAATTTGTATTTAATTTAATTTGTGCTATCTTCACCATTGTCATTCGTGTTTTCTATTTTACAAATATCAAAATGAAACTCCAAGTTCTGTATAATATACAGCTATAATAATGATAAAGTTAAGATTAATATATGTGTAATATAAATGCTGATCTGTTATGCAAATATATTGATGATTCAGAAATAATAGAATTGCTATATAGAAATGTAATAGTTAAGTGGGTTATTTGTAATTATTGAATCAAGTCTTTAAATATCTGATCATAAGAAAATGGATGATAGCCCTTGAGAATAAGATGAGTAAGATTAGGACAGTTGTCTATTATAGAAAGCATCACTTTCTGTTTTAACACTTCATTGATTTTTCAATCTTACTCTTGATCGTAGTGTCTGTTGTATTAATAAAAATTTTCTTGATCTGTTGATTTAATTCATATT